GCCTGTACTCAAGCATCGCTGAGCCCCCAGAGGGTTGAATTTGCATCTACAAGCCCAGGAGAAGGTAGAAATGTAGGAGCATCATTTTCATCCCAGTCCTGCTCACACGACCTTCTTTGTTTTCTTGCCTGGAGGGGGCAGAGCAAATAACAGGCCAAGTGTGTGGAGCTGTTTGACATCCCAGCAGCTGTACAGAATGCTCACTTGTTCTCCCTTTTGTGTGCCAGAATTACCCCACATCACAGCTTCCTCCTGCACTGGGGTTAGCCTAGTGGCCTCGGCCTTGCTCCTGTTTCTTCAGGAAGTGGCTGAGCCTGATTCTGGGAACCCAAGTGGAGTTTCTAGTCCCAGGGTGAGAAGATGTCAGGGCTTCCTTTTGCAGGCAGGGACCATCTCAACTACGGAGATGAAGAGAAGTCCTATTGCTGTGGAAGTTCCAGATCAGGGTTGTGGCTTTCTTGAAGCTGAAAATAAGAGGAATAGAAAGTCTCATCTGTGACATCTGAGCCATCAAGCCATGGCCTTGGAATAGAAAACTTGCTTCAAGTCCCCTCTGGCTGCTGCTGGGTTGCGTGGTCTCGGGCAAGGTGCTTTCCGTCTCTGGGCCACGCAGCATTTTGGTTGTGCAAATGCAGCCTGAACACAGGCCTCCTCCTTCCTGGTCCTTTATTTTCTCTACTATTCCATAGAAACATGGCAGGCACTTGGTACCACACCAAGTAACCTGTCCCTTTTGATGTATTCCTTTTAGTACCCAAGGTGCTCTCCAGAAAGGGGACTTTCTTCCAGAGCTTGCTGTCATAGATTTGCCCCCAGACCATAATTCTCCTGTATTTTCTGCCTATGGATATTTCCTTGGGCCTAGGTGACAGTCCATTTCTGCATAGCAGTCCTTCCCAAAAATGGTAGGCAGAGTGGTGCTGCTTTGGTAGAGCAAGTAATGCCTTCCCACAGCTGTGCTCACTAAAAACTCATCATACGAACAGCTGGTGAGGGAATGAATGAATTCCAGCAAGAGACGAGAGACTTGATGATGCCATTGTGTCACGGATCATCACTGTGAGACCAGAGCACTCCTGGGAAGACCCCTCTGTGAAACTGACCACCGCAGGGCAGCCGTTGCCCAGTTTCCTGGCATGCTGAAATGCACTCTGTCCCCGGCTGCCCTCACCGAGACAGTGCAACAAGAGCACGGGCTGGTGTGGGAGCGAAGGGCTCCAGGCTTCAGTTCTGTGGCTGCATGTGCTTGGGCAAGGCATTTCCCTCACGGGACCTCAGTTTCCCCATATCTGACATTTAAGTGTCTCTGTCACTAGCCTCCCAGACTTTATGACTGTGATGCCTCCTTGCTGGGTGGAGGCCACCTGCTCAGTTAGGTGCTATGGCCCATGGCACAGTAAAGCCTCTGGTGTCACTGGGCTGCTGCTGAGATTAGATAGGGACACTTGGCGCTGAGTCGGTGCTCAGGGCCTGTTTTAGCAACACGGCTAGTAAATATTGACTCTGTGGCACAAAAAGGCAAAGCAGAGATGACTGTGCTAACTCACTCATAGGGCAGAAGTTCACTAAGCCCTGATAACCAGGTGTAGTTACGCAATGTGTGGTCTGCTGCTAGCAAATAGGTCGTTTAGAGGTGGGGAGAATGGAGCACAGGGCAAGGAGGCCTTCATGGGTAATCCTCGGCCGCTTTCCTGTGGGCACTGGCCGGCCTGCCTGTTCATCTGTTCGTTTTTAAATGAATAGGTACTTACATCCTGAGGCATATAGAGAAAAGACTGCAAGGAAATACACCAAAACATTGACCATGACACTCTCTATAGATGACGAAATTGCCACTGATTAGGATTTTTCATAGACTTTTTCTATTTTCCACAACATCTAAAATGACCACATATTACTTTTATAATCAGAAAAGAGCAATGTATTGGAAATAAAGTATTTTTCTTGGAAGAGTCTGAAGGAAATTTCAGGATCTTCCGAGTACTTCAGACCTCTGTGCTTTGCCTCCTGGACATTGTGCAGTGACACAGCCATCTACCGAAAAGTCCATTGCTCTTCTGAATAAACCCTGATCTGAGTATGTTTACGTACTGATTTGTACCCATAAATGCAGAATGTGGTGGGAAAAAATTCCAGTCACTTAAGATTTCAGGATTTTTTTCCCTAAGTAAACAAACACTTACTCCTTCGAGTGCCTTCCATGTGCTGGCCTTGCACCACAGTGGCCAGGCCTGGCTTGGCCCAGAATTGGGCAAGTCTGAGATAGGGCACTCTGAGCAAGTGGGTACACGTGAGCTGGAGGTAAGAAGGTAAGAGGACCCAGGTGCGGAGGAGGGAAGAGGCCTTAGGATTTGAAGCATGTGTGAGTTAAATTATAATAATAATTACTGTTCATTAAGTACCAGTCATATACCAAGGAGCCTTCCATAAATAGTACTAATCCTTACAAAACTTTGTGTGATAGACATTAGCTACCATTTTGGGGTGGGGAGACCAGGGCCAGGAGAGTCACCTCTCCAGTCACCAGCAGGTCATGGATTCAAACCCACGTCTGCCTGATTGCAAAGCATTTGCTCTTCCCACCATACCAGGTGGTCTCTCCAGTGATTTAAGATTTTGCACTGGAAAATGTAAACCTCCAAAGGGAGCCTGAGCTTATGACACGGCCCGTATAGCCTCCATCCAGGACTGAAGGGCTTTGGAGGAAAAGGCAGCCCCAAGGGTAAAGCTTGGGTAAGGAGTTAGGGTCTTGGTGTGTCTGCCCTGTTTGGCCCTGGGGCAACCCAGTGGTTCAGTGGGGCTGTGAGAACCGTGGGACAGGTGGAGTGCGGGGTGTAGCATCAAGGCCTGTGGGAGAGGAGAAACAGGTCTGTGGGTTTTCTTTGTACTTGGGTAGTTAAAACAACGAGTAAAGGAGTCTTATAGTTGCTTCATTTTTTAGCTGGATAAGTAGAGCTAATACCTGAGTCTGGGCAGCGATTGCCTCTTGGGGTTCACAGGTCCTGTTCCCACAGCCTTTGGGACTGGCCAGGAGACTTACTTTCCTGCCCACCTGCCTGCCAATCTCTGCTTGCACACTAGCTGGAGAAAGTTTTGTCTGCCCCCTCACTGGGGAAGGCCTGCCTTCCGAGAATGAAGGCCTCGGAATTGGATTTCAACAGTTTAAGTTGGTTTCCAGTTATTTTATTTTCTTGGGAGAAAGGGTGTGTGTTTTGGGGGAGGGGCTGAATTGCGGTGTGTGGTGTTTTTAAAAAACTTTTTTTTTTGATTGAAGTCTCACAGTACCCATTATGGAAATGGCTTATACTGTGGTTCTCCAGACATGTGGCTAGAATATTTTGGTTTCCTGGCAAAGCCATACAGGACTTTGAGATCTGATGGAGAAGGTCCCAGAGTTACTGTAAGTGAAGGGAGAGTGGCACTTGTACTCTCTGCCTGGCCCGGGGGTCTGTGTTCCTCAGAGGCCCACACCATGTAAATGGCTGATTTTTGATATAATGATCATCATAATAAGCACCTGCATTTGTACAGAACTGGTTTCCAAAGCGCTTTGCTTACATTTTCTCATTTGATTCTCATGGCTACGTTTCTAGATGGGCAGCTCAATTAACCCTCTTATAGAAGAGAAGACTGAGGTTCAGAGAGGGTAAGTGACCTGGTCACACAGCTAGGGAGAGGCAGTGTCAGAGGTTGGACCAAAGTTTCCCGACTTCAGACCAGGAAAGGCAGGGAGGTTTGCACCCAGTTGAAGATGTGGACCTGCTGCCGTCCTGGAATGCAGGCTGTCTGGGCACAGGGAGATGCCAGGATCCAAGACCTCTCTGTGACGGCCCTGGGCCCTGCAGAGCCAGCCTCCATGGAAGACAGGACGGCCCTCGAGGTGCAGTTTGGGGCTATGTGAGGGGCTTTGCCTCATGGTCTTCTGTGGCTGCTGTCTCTGTTGGTCTTTACAATTACTCTGTGAGGCAGCAGGGTAGATAGATGGTATTAGCCCCATTTTACAGATGGGAAAACTGATGTTTCAAGAGGTTGGGTGGTTCAGTCAACATCGTTTGTTTGTTATTCACAAAACGAATCTGTATCGAGTGCCTGTTGGAGGTACAGAGGGGACTGAGGTCACAGCTAGTGACAGGCGAAGGAGGAACCTGAAGGCGAGTAAGAAGAGGGAGCACACTGGGTGCTCGGCAGCTCTCTGCTGAGTGAGAGCCCTCGAGCACAGCCCTCAGGGGGTAGATCTCTGTATCTGCCACTGCAGTGAGAACAAGGTGGGCTCAGGCCAATGTTCCAGAGAAACTTTTATTCCTGTAAATAATGATGATGGTACTTGCTACCATTTACTGTGGTCCTGTTGTACAGCAGACCACAGCCATAGAAATGTGCTACTTCTAATTGTCATAGTAACCCTCTGAGGCAGCAATTATTTATCCCACTTTAGTGATGAGAAAACTGAGGCTCAGGGAGGTCAATTACTCATATTCCAAGTCATCCTGGACTTAAAATCTAGGTCCGCTTGACTCTGAAGCCAGATCACTTTCCACCGAGCCATACTGCCCTTTGTGACGGTGAGCTCTGAGAAGCATGTTAGAGGAGGAGGGGGCCAGTCACTTTTGGGGAGCTCATGGATAAAGAGGCAAGGTGTAGGGTGGCTGTGGTGGGAGGTGGGCAAGAGCGTTACTCTAGACAGAGAATCTTTAGGAGGCTGTGAGCCCTGCCGGTGGCCCCCGAGCCTGATGAGAGAGCAGGGCAGGGTAGAGCAGGGTGGGCGTCTTGTTCCGTTCGTAGCCCCTGCGTGCAGCTGGCCTGAGGTCCTCAGGAGCCCAGAGGCTGCTTCGTCTCCTTGGACATCCTCCTTGGAGGATCCCCCTACCGCAGGTCTGATGACCCCTGTTACTCAAAGAGCAGTGGCATCTCCCAGAACTCCTAGAACCCCCAGCCTCCTTCCCCACTCCCCTTCCCTGCTCTGCTGGGAACCTGGGGCTGCCACACCAGATCATCATCAACTAGGTGGTTTAAAACAACAGGCATGTATTCTCTCACAGTTATGGAGACCAGAAGTCCAGGAGCCAGGAGCCGGCAGGGCTGGTTCCTTCGGAGGCTCTGAGGGAGGGCCGGTTCCGTGCGCTCACCCAGTCCCTGGCGGCCGCCAGTAGCCCCGGCCTTGCAGGTGCACCCCAGGAACACGCCGTCCTTGTCCTGCATGGCACAGGCAGGAAAGAGGGTGTCCTTGGTATGGCAGGGCCCTTTGGGGCAGCCAAGCCATTTGTCTCCTGCCAGACTGCAGCTGGCACAGGTCCCTGCCCATGCGGTACCCTCTCCTACCGCCTCACCCTGACTTACCACACTATAGAGATCCACTCTGCTCCTCCAGCCAGATGGCCCGCATCCTTCCTGCCTGCCTCCTCTTGGGGTTCTTTCCTCTGTGACTCTAGCTTGTGTGGCAGTTTTGCTCTCCTCCTTCAGTAGTGGCATGTCTTGTTTTTATGTAATGGTATTATTAGCTTTCCTGAGGGAACAGATCAATTTTTTCAATTAGATGTAAGCTTCCCTATGGCACCTTGCGTATGGCCTTTGGTAAATACCCATCCGTGCCCTGTTGGCTACTCCCCTGGCATGGAAGTGGTTATGGATTCTGATCTTACCCAGGGCCTGGGGTCTCCTTCAGAGACTTGAGGGCTGTTGGGACAATCATACAATGTTCAACCTGAAAGGGACTTTCAGGAGTATCAAATGGGCCAGTGCTGGTTTTCCAGAAGAAAAATGAAAAATGACTTGTTCCTAAATTATCGGGTAGCTTTATCCCAGCAGCCCTCAGATCTCTGAAGGGTCATGTCTGCTGATGGCAGGGCCTTGGACGAACATGAAGGTTTTCCCCAGGCCTGAGGCAGGGTCAGAGGACCCCCTCCTCCACTTCATCCCCAGCACTGCTGCCTCCTCAGGAACTATTCCTGAAAACCCAAATCTCAGGAAGGACCTGCTTCAAGATAACACCACTTCTAAAGAGTCAGGTTTTCTGGGATGTGGGAAGGCCATTTTGGAGCCAGGTTAGAGGAAAACAAAGCAATAAACACTTGACCCCTGTCACTGCAAGTGAGGCCACAAGCAGTGGAGCCTCCTGGCCCAGAACCCTAGCTGTAAGGTGTTTCTTTTTGGCAAAGCTGCCAGCCGCACCCAGAGAAGGTTGGGATTTGCTAGGTGAAATGACTAATTAGTCCTGAAGCAGGATATTTCTATCTGCTCACCACGTCACCATGATTTATTCATGTGAGGCTGGAACACTTACAGGGGACTGGGCCCTTGTTTCCTGTGGCCTCCATGTGGTGGGCAGCCAACTGTATTTTTCAAGAATGGGTAATTTCTCAAATCTAGCTTGCTTTTCAGTTGCTGCCAGGAAACCTATAACTCTAGTCATTCCATGGAACTCTCCTTCCTGGGTCTGCAGTCGTTTTAGAAGCAATGCATTCTTATCTGGGCCTCGGTTCCTTCTCTGCCAATGTGGGGATTGGGCTAGATGGTATCTCAGAGCCTTCCAACCCCTGAGTTCTTTACTTCTAAATTTTTGCGCCGTCTGCCAGTGAACGCTTCTGTTTTCTTAAGGTATTTGCTTCCCCAGGGCTGCTGCACAGTAATCAGAGACATCTCCGCTGCTTGGAAGCCTTGCACCTAGTTTCACTTTTCTGCCCAGTTACCAAGTCTTAAAAAGCAGCTAGTGGAGTTTTCAGATCACACAGATTCGCTTATCTTCCAACTGGGAGCCTAGTCTGAAATCTTGGTAATAAAGAATAAGGCCTCAGCCCTTAGAGTTAAGGCAGGCTGACTGCATCTTCATATGCCCTCAGAATGAGGGAGGGGGACCTGTCTCACTTGATGGGATGTGTGCAGTGTTACTGTGCCTGCTTCTGGCCCTCTGGCTGTGGAATGAGTCCAGTCCTTAATGATTTGGTGGCCAACTTGTGGATTGTCTGGGGTTGGGAATGGCAGGGGCCTCAGGCCTCCTTCCAGGGGCCAGACTGTCATGGCTTCGCTTCTGTGCATTACTCTTTTTTGTCCATTTGACATTATGCTCACACTGAAGTTGTAATTTATATCCCGTTTCCTCAGTTAATTACAGTGTAAACATTTTTCTTTGTAGTCCCTCAGTAAATGTATTTATTGGCCATATGATGTTGCCAAGAGGATTTTTAACATGATAATATCTCACTTTTATAGTTGAAAAAGGAAACCAGCTAATGAAATCAAATAATGCATTGGAAAGGTCCCTCCTCCATCCTCCTGAAGCTTTCTAGCCCCAAACTATTGTCAAGTTTCTGTGTATCCTTCCAGAAATTGTCTGTGTATATACAACCATATGTGCCTATTCTGTATTTTTAAAATGTAGATTGGGATCAGACTGTACTTGTAGATGGGATCAGAATTTGATGTTTCTGCAATTTGATTTCTTAATCTCCTGTATTTTTCCAGATCAGTGGTGTGTGTGTGTGTGTGTGTGTGTGTGTGTGCATGAGATGTTCTTTTTAACAGGGCATAGCCCGTCTATTATAGATGGACCATCATGGATTTAAACCAATGCCCTTGTTGATAGACATTAGGTCGCCACCACCGGAAGCATCCTTGGACAATGCCTGCCTGCCTCATTTACTTACCTTCTAGCTGCCAGGTATGCTTCTAGGTACTTAGGATTCCGCAGTAAACAGAGCAAACTCCTGTGCAGTGCTTGTACTGGTATGATTGTCAGATAGATTCTGGAAAGTGGAATTGTTGGCGGATTGATTTATCACATTTATTGAATGCATGTAAGCCACATAGAATAGTCTGTTGAATGTTTGGTATATCAATGACCGCTTAAAACTTTCTCCCCTCCCCTTGTCCCTGGCCACATTACCATCATCTCTAGTGGCTAAAGGGCCCTTTACTGAGGCTTCAGGAAGTTCATTATGGTTATGATGGGTGGTGGCTGGTGACGGTAATGTGTATTTGCTAGCATTTTAAAGATTCGTTAGGGTACAGTTTTGCTGTGTGTCCCTACACAACTGTGTAGGGAACTGAGAGGCTGATCTGCACTTTACAGAAGGAACTGGGGCAGAGCGGTAAGGCTGAGCTGAGGCTGGTGGACTCCTAGCTCCCGGTGAAGCTGGCTGAATGCAAGGCTGGAATGAGGGCGCAGGAAGAGGGGCTCTGCTTTCTTCTTCAATGGGTGCTCAGAGTTTCGGCCCCCTAAAATAAAGCATTTTAAAACCAGAAGATTAGTTAGTGTTTCCTTTTCACTTACCGAATGGAGATAGGATTCTAAAGGACTTGCATTTCATAAATTCACTTTGAGCTGTGCTGTGCAATGCAGTAGCCACCAGCCATGTGGGACTATTTAAAGTAGTTAAAATTAAATACAATTACAAATAAGTTCCTCAGTCACAGTGGCTGCATTTCAAGTGCTCAGTAGCCACAGGTGACTAGCAGCCGCTGCACCAGGCATGGCTCATACAGAACATTTGCAGCGTCCACAGTGCTCCTTAGGGTGTCCTTAAGGCTGTAGCATCATTTTCCCCTTAAACACTTGTATATCTGTGCGAAGAGTTCTTGAGATCATTTTCACTTT